CAGCGACAATTGAAACTATAGCTCTTACAATGGTCAAAAGTTATTCGGTTTTTTTCTTATTCCATGCTCAAGGCAAAGGTAACTAAATTAATTTCAAGAGAAAATTGTTTGATTTTGTTCTGGGAAGGTAACAGAAAAAAAATAACACTGCATCGAATAAGAGGAACAAGCTTTGATTTGCAAAATTTTTTCAAACAAACAGCACAGAATAGAATAAATAAATTTCAATAGATAATTAAAGGCTCCTCGCAGTTTCTGTACTCTTTACTTGTTATGTAAATCATGTTTGACGGTTTATTTAAGGGAACAATAGAGGAATAGTATACACTTGTTTTCACCCTTGTTAGTAAATTATCTTTATTGTGTTATGTTCCTCGCCTTCCCAGATTTTGTTCTTTGTTGCCAGGGTAGGATCCCTTAAACTGAACATTCGTACGCATTTTCGTGTTACTGAGTGAGCACTAACACTCTTTTTGCATTCTTATTGATAACGACAGGAGTTGTCAGTCATTTGCAATTCAGTGCTTCTTTTTCCTCAAGCAGCCATGTTATTGAAAACTATTTCATGGTATGAGGGATAGTGTTGCACAAACAGCGTTTGAAAAGATTTCCTTTGAACCTCATACTTCACTATGCAAACAGTTATCTGATAAAAGTAAACAACGTCGAAAACAATAGACAACCTTTGGGACAAGTGCTTTGTTGTAGAATAGTTGGAGGTAATCATGACGAAAATTTTTCCGCGTTTTTCACTGCCGGCTGTGAACTTTAAAAATAGGAAAAACCGCATTTAGTTTATACGTGAAATATTTTGTGTTACAGGAAAAATTCAGAGATGAGCAAGATGAAGGTAAATACATTACCACCCTCTTTATAAATCTCCAAAGACTTTGAAGGAATTTGGGGAGGATGACATGATTTTAGGGGGTAAAGCTTTATCGAGACAAGTCACTAATTCTCCAACCCTCCCATCTCATATTTCAACACGTACCATGAAAACAACGTCCAATCAAAACATACCAAATCATTGCACTTCATGAACATAAGGCAATTTTTCACGCGCTTGAATTGTATTCTACCAATCATATTCCATTTTGCCACAGTTTGCTTCAATCCATCACGTGTCGTTACCTTGTGAGCAATCCACATTTTATCACTTAATCAAACCCGATTGTCCCACCCCACTGAAAAAAATCACATGGTCCTCAGTACTACTGCTAGTGAATTTTCCACGCAATTCTCCCGCGTTTTGATTTTTTCTACGAATAAAATTAACTTCTGGCTATCGTAGACTTAGCCCAATCGTGTGTTAATTCCTTGCAAACAACCTGCATTTTGTCACGTATTTCACACACAGGGGGCAAAGTTCAGATAGGCAACAACCAATCAAGGAGCCTTCTCTGAAGTATTATCCTTTTTTTCACTCATTCGAGATCGCAATATGTCCTTGCTTTGGTTCTGTTGGAGATACAACAAACTTGCAGTTTGCTTTTTGAAGTAAAATTACGTGGAATTATATTTTTTAAGGCAACTAACTGTAGACAAATAATTTTGATTTCCTCTCTGTTAGAGGAACGGCAGTAAATTTAGTCCCTTTCGCAACCGTTATTTGGTCTCGTCACGCAATGCTGTCTCTCTCCACCTGGGAATAGATGGCGTTGTGTGACGAGACCAAACGATGGTTGCGGAGGAGACAACAGTAAGCATGGCACCGATGCATTTCATTTCTGCTTAGAAGTATTCAAACAATACAGACAATAGACCACAACATACCTGTCTGAATTAGGTCTTTTTTTTCAATCACCTAAGGTGTAGTAATGCAATATTATCGTTATTTTGAAAGTTGTGCTTTTTTTCTGATCCAAGAATGAAAATGTAGGGTACACAAAGTGTCCCATCTCAACCCATCCAGCCATAGAAATAATTAAGTAGCTGTTCAATGATCAGCAATGAATAATCTATATAACTAGGGGGACGTAGAAAGTGTAGCTGTAATTTTCAATTAGGTGCAACAGCCAAGTTATACTGAAAACACTGAAGTTCAAACCAGGGCCAAATGCGAAACATTGCTTATTAAAATACGTTTGTTGCGCACAAGAATATAAAATTCACACAAAACCCTGTTTAGTAAAGAAGTTTTTGGCCATTTTGAGATTGGCCTACTTGCCAGATAAGTGAAATTAGCTCACTGTAACATTTCGTATCTATGATTTTGATCATCTTTTCAAATGAAAAATCCAGGAGATTGCGATGGACCTCTCGGCCTCGAAAATGGTGACATCACTGACGGACAGCTCAGTGCCTCTTCGGAGTGGAACTGGTACCATGGCGCTAGACGCGGTAGACTGAATGTACAAAAACAAGGCGGCCTGCGAGGCGCTTGGTCCTCTCGCAGGAATGACGGCAACCAGTGGCTCCAGATTGATCTCTTTGACGAAAATGCGCAAGTGACGGGTATCGCCACACAAGGAAGGGCTGACTGGAACCAGTGGGTCACTAAGTATAGGCTGCAGTATGCTGTGGATGGAGTGAACTTCCAGTACTACAAGGAGCAAGGACAATCTGCAATCAAGGTGGGTGCATATACCTTGTTTAATACGCGGGGATGTTTTGCGAGCCGCGTAGTATTTTCCGAGCCCAACTATATCTTTAACCAGTCCATAAAAACGCATGAAAGTGAACCTTTTGGAGTCCACTAGACTTCTACAGCATGGTCTTATAAGGTATGTTTATGCCTTTTTTTTTTTTTTTATTACTCAGGAATTCACTGGTAACACGGACAGAAACACCATAGTTCGTTACAATCTGAATCCACCAATTACGGCACGTTTTATCCGTTTTCGACCTGTCAGTTGGACTGGACACATTTCCATGAGAGCGGAGCTTTATGGCTGCTTTTCCAGTAAGATAATAGCGTTTTAACATCCTTATTATTGATCTTTACTTCTACTGGGGGTCAAAGGGTTAATTTCTTTCACGGATAACGGTTGATTTTTTGGCCAATTTGCGACGAACGATTAACTTCTTTCCTTCGTGACTGAAAAATAAATGAATAAATCTCATCAAACTTGTGATGCCTCGTCGTCACAGTAAGGTTTTTTTCAGATTTCCTTGAAATCAAGATTAATGAACCGTAATCTGAAATTAACCCACAATACCTTTTGGGGATGTCATGCGCACTTATTCGCTTTGTTTTCCCGATAACCTTTCTCGAAACAGCTGTATTATACGGAAATCAAGACAAGCTTTACCTGTTTGGATTAATCAACTCCCATCAAATTGCAGTAAATAGTCTTTTTTATATCAAGCTGATTAAATCATCCTTATTAATATTACATATACATGTGACCTTCAATGTTGGTTATAACCATTTTTGTATCCATTCACAAAAAAAATAAAATAAAAATACAGAATGTCTCAAGCCCCTTGGCGTGCAAAGTGGTAAAATTTCTGACAAACAACTTTCTGCCTCTTCTGAATGGGACATAAATCATGGTGCCAAACGTGGCCGACTTAACATTAAGAGAAACGGACCTCTGCGAGGTGCTTGGTCTTCCCGTAGGAATGATCAAAACCAGTGGATACAGATCGATCTTCTCACTAGTTATACGGCAGTGAGGGGCGTAGCCACACAGGGAAGAGACGACTGGAATCAGTGGGTCACCAAATACAGGCTGCAGTACGGTAATGATGGAGAGAACTTTGAATTCTACACAGTGGCTGCAGGACAAAGTGCAATTAAGGTGAAAGAAATTTTAGATTTATGTTAATCACTTTGTTACCAAAGCCATATTTTTCACAAAATAAAAATTCTAACTTTATTTCCTTCTTAACACTTATGAGGCCCTATGTCTTCTTAGCCACGGGCGTGATCTGCGGCTTAAAATACAGCTGGGTTGACAATGTAAATTTAGAACAGTATCATGCTGTAGGATATAAATGAGATTTTATCTTATGGTTATCAATTTTGTTTAGGATTTTGTAGGAAACAAGGACCGGCACACTATTGTTTTTCACAAACTAAGGGCAGTCTTCGCACGTTTCATCCGAATTCTTCCACGGTCATGGCATGGACATGTCTCCATGCGCACGGAGCTCTATGGTTGCCCAGGTATAAGAACTATCTTATATT